CTTCTGCACATCTTTTTGTGCAGATCCAGGTACATTTTACCAGCCTAGACATCAGTGAGTTACCTGCGCACGGAGACTTCGAGGTATATCTGCCAGCGTCCGCAGACTCCGGAGTCCCCTTCTATCATTTTATGTTGCTTCCTTATATTTTATTTAGACCTTGACATATAGAGACATTGAGAATAAATTCTTAGAAGCTTGTGACTTATTTCTACCGGGTTTTGGGAATTGAAATTGTTTGAATTGTAGTTTATTTATTTCAGATATTTATTATTATTCCGCATTGATAGGCTTACCTAGTCTTAGAGACTAGGTGCCATCACGACATCCTACGGAGGGAGTTTGAGGTCGTGACATTACAATACTTCATATGAAGAAACTTAATATCTTAAACCACCGAACGAAACTTTAAATCGCAAAAGGACCGGTCATCTCGTTACACTTTTTAACATCAAGAGCACGATAAAGCTAAGAACTGTGTTGAAACTTGAAAGTCATGAAGGACTCTCATAATTCTCCGTATGCTTTTTTAAAAATAAGCTTTCCCAGTGGCTGGGGGCTCCGGATGCATATTAACTTGAACAAACCAATTACTTCCTCAGTTAAAAAAAAATTGTCATAGTTTGACTTGACACAAACTTTAATAAAAAAGGGAAGACACCTGTTATAGTATTTGTGACTACAAATACTTCCTATTAAGGAAATATTGAAATGAGCCAATCATTTTGAAACGAACTAATAAGAAAATAATGTCAGTCTTTTTTAAACAGATGAGGTATTAGATTCGCCCAAATTATAATGTTAGAATTTCGGAAAGGAGAATATTAGAAACAATGTTTATTATATCATAATATATGCAGACATAAAAAATGAAGATGAAGAAAAAGTAAGCTTTCTTTTCAAATATTAAGCTCTGAAATTATCCCTAAATTAATCTTTTCATGCTCTTAAATTTAAAGCTGGAAAACAATCTTTTTAAATTTTAAGTTGGAGAGAGGTCTCTACAATTATCCCTAAATTAAAATGTTATTTAAAGTTTCTAATTTTAGTTCTACTTTTAAGTTTCTAGCTTTGGTAAGAAATTCCTGCAAACTTAAATTAAAACCTTACTTAAAATTTTAGGTGTTAGAAATAATTTAAGTCAATCTTAGATTTGAATTTAATTATGTTAAAACTATATAAGTTGTTGATAGACCATAAACAATATGACAAGTTGGACCTCCAATTGTGTATATAAAATATAAATACATAAACATTCTCTGATTAAACAAATTTCTACGTAGAGATTGAGTTGGATGAGGTTTTTCCCCTCTTTCTTTGTTTAAAAAAAAATAATTGCCAGGTATTCTTCCTTATATTATCAAACGCGTTAACTAACATATATTTTCTATCATCATTTTTATTCAATTAAATACATCCAATTTTTTCTTACTTTATTCAAGTAAAAAATGAAAATAATACAAAATAATAAATTTCTTCTTTTAATGACAAAATATTCAATTTAGAGTGAAAATAACAAATAAAAGCAGTTCTGCAAAGCCTCTTAACAAATTAATAACACACTAACAAAAGCAGTTCCCTCAATAATCTGAGTTATTTTAATTTTACTGCAGCACCTTAAACAAAATATAGGATGCTTGCACAGGTTTATGATGAGAACATCTTCTCTATTGATCAGGCAGTCCGCAGAGGAGGAGACACCAGTATTACACCATCCCCACGAACGAATAGGAAAGGGATGGTCCGTCTTGTAGTCTGTAATAAGCACAAGTAACCATGTCAGAAGATTATATACCATTAGTGCAGAAGAGGCCGAAAAATATTGAGCCCAACTAATGCTCATAAGCAAATAGTATGTTTGCATCATACAGATGCAAAATGAAATTTAAGACATTCTGCCAAACTTGACAGATGATTTGCTCATTTCCATGGTTAAGCTTATCCCCGGAAAAATAGATGTTTAAGGCTTTCCTTGGAACTAAAATAGCTAAGAAGAATCGAGCATGTGCAACAACGGGAGGAGGCATTGATTTGTCAATCAGATAAAACTGGAAAACAGTACATTATTGAGTTGCTATATATACCATTATTTCAGGATTATAGAGTTCCATGGCATCATTTCGTTCAAAACAAAAGACGATTTTCCTGGTAGTTGTGTTTCATCTAAGAGGAAAACTTACTCAGGAAAAAAAATAATTGCTCATGCTAACGGGGAAAGTACGCTTCTCACAATAAGGATCGAGAAATGAGAACACATGTTCTGTTAAATTCATTTAAGTAAAAATTCCATTTGCTTGTGATTGCTCCTTATTAAACTTACTTTACCTAGCTCAAGCAATTGAATTAGCTCCACATCTCTTGCCAATTACCTGATGCTTGGTGTATGCTATCCCATTCGCCTTGCAGCAAAACTAACAAAAAAGAGTTTTGGCTCCCGTATCTTGTCCATCACCCAATGAGTCATGTCTGCTATCTCATCCCCACCCCTAAAACAAATTAAATGAATAACTACCTTCCTTCACTGACTTCCATCCCTCACCCCTTAATCTGACTCAGCCATCCACAATTCAAGCGACCACCACTACTGTCAATAACCCTTCTCCAATGCATCCCATTAACTATGTGTTGTTCAAGGACACAAACAGACCAAGGACGGCCTTAGAACTTAAGATGGAACCATCAATTGGCTGTGTACCCTTTACCAACATGACATGAACGCAGGTATGAAACACTTTCAAATACAGCCACTGTATATCAGGTTTGACTTTTCCGAACANATAAATCAATATATGGTATAAACTTCATTCTCAGTTGCATCGCACCAATGTTCAACACTCATATTCATGTGTCCATACTTGAGGGCCCAAGGGAATCAAATACACCAAAATATGCTAGCTGTTGTGCACCGGTGGTGACCCCCCATTGGAACTTCCTACATTTGCCTTTAGATTCAAGAACTAAAGCAATTACTCGTACAACAATCTCTCTGTTCAGACACTGAATTATCCATTTGGTACTCCTACAACACCACATTAAAATCCCTTATAACTCCCTCTTTAAAAACTAATATGACATTTACCAATTACTTAATTGTTATACTATTCTAAAAAAGATACTTCCATCAACAAAAACTACCTAATAGATAAGGATTGTCTACTAATAGATATTTGAAAATTATCTTCCATAAGACGTCAAAACAAATAACGCAAACTCTAGTAATATTGAAGAAATGGTTCTAATAAACAGATATAATTGACTATAACGAGAAAGAATAGTGGCAGAAAACAAACCGCTCTCAGGACTTTGGTCTAGTAGGAAGAGACCAACACGTGATGTGTAGGTCAGGCGCACATGAACTTTTGAACCCTGCCGCAAACAAAACCTTGGTCTTTAAGTGGAGAAGGGTAGAGGGGTGGGCCCGTCATCCACCAAGTTTCGAACCATGTGATACTAGCCCTTAGG